CTTTACACAATTGATGTGAGTATGGATTGCGATAACAGTTGTATGAGCCCCTAATAAAATGTTTAAAAAACAACAACAACAAAAACATGCTGATATTTATGATCAATGCATAAGGGTAAGTTAGTTTCATTATCATCATTATGTTTAGAAAGCAGGCACTTCTGTTTATTCTCTCCAGAGGAAATGCTTTATGGAAGCAAATGCATGGTTTCTGGAGTCAGGATGTAGATTCTCTGCTCAGCTATGCCAACAGATCCTTGTTTGTGAGATTGGGGGTGTGCACAGAAAGTCTTGTGACTTCCCTGGGCTCTGCTTTTGCTGTTTGAATTCACAGAAAAAATATAAGGGACAGAAATCGGTAGTCTCTAAATGGTCCTGGAAGTACTAAAGACATCCTGTAATTCTAAGCCAGTTTTTAGAAACTTTCTCCCCCAAAGTAGAAAGCCCAGTTTTTGTCCCAAGGAGCTGGTGTTGGTTTAGAACTGCCAATCATTCAGATCACAGCCCAATGCATAACCACTACACCACCAGGACTCCTACAATTCTATAATGCCTATAATTCTTAAGTTTAAAAAATATGTTATCATCATATTATTAAATACCATATAGTCAGTTCCCAAACCTTCAATGGGCATACTATTTAATCAATTAGCCAAGGGCTATATCAAACTGGTTTCTGAGCATCTGAGTAAGAGGAAGCAGACCACTCCTCTCCCATTTACTCAATAGACTAATCTTGCTTATACGCTTAGTCACAATAACAAAACAAATCAATGAACTCTAAATGGATAAGATTTCACAAGACAACACCTTCTGGCAACCTTGAAACTCCCTATAACCTATCAGATAAGTAGAGGCCCTCAGTCTGCTCATTATGCATTCTAAAAGTGATTGTAAACCACCTGCTTCCTAGTTGAATTTAAGTCAACTACTAGTTGTTTTCAAAATCCCCCCTCTGACAGGAGGAGAATCAATGGAAATAGAGGAAAGAGCTGGGAGGCAAAGGG